GACTCCTCCCCCCTTCCCCAAGTGGCGCCGTCGGCTAACGAAGGGAAGGGGGCAGGAGTCCGGTGACGTCGATGTCGGCTAACGAAGGGAAGGGGGGAGGAGTCAGGTGACGTCGATGTCCGTGACCTCACTGGACTCCTCCCCCCATTTTTGTTTTTTTTAAATAAAAGAATTGTCAAAAACATGTCTTTTAGGTTTTTTTTTCAATTTTAAAGGATTTTTTTCGGAAGTGTGGCGTCTTTGTCACAATTTGAATGTAACCCGGTACAGCCGACTTGACTACAGGCCTCTCCAATGTGCTGCCTACAAAACAACAAGGGGATGTAGCTCAGTGGTAGAGCGCATGCTTTGCATGTATGAGGCCCCGGGTTCAATCCCCGGCATCTCCAGGTTTTATTTACCTGAAAGTCTTTGTACTACATCTTAGATTGCACTTTTCTGTCCAATTCCCAGCGGATGTCGGCCAGCTGGTGGTCCGGTCTCTTAGGCTGGGCACACACCTTACAACCATCGCAGGACTTTTGTCTTGTGATGGTTGTAAGGCACTTAAAAAAACGTACGATCTGCCTATGTTGCATAGGCAGATCGTACTGTCGATGATCGCAAGCCACGCCCCCTGAGGGGCGGGCTTCCGATGACCGCAATGCCGAACGGGCAGTGTGCGCTTGCGCACACCGGCCCGTGCGGCTGTTATCGTACGGACATGCCACAAACCCGCCCGACGTCGTACGATGCTCGGCGGGTTTTCGAACATGTCCGTAAGTTTAAAGTCGTGCGACCTTACAGTAGTAGAGGTCGCACGGCTTCCACACACCTTACGATAATCGTACGATCGCGGGATTTCCCGCGATTCTCGTACGATAATCGTAAGGTGTGTGGGGACCCTTAGCCAGGCTCACCATCTACTTCCTGTTCTGGGATGGCACAAATCCTGATGCGCTCAACAGATATATTTTAAACGGATCAAACAAATCACTTCCAACTGGATATTTAACAAACTAAATTGAAGTAAATAAGAGAAGCTCATTGTCGGGGTGTACCGCCACTTTAATTCCCCCCCCAGCTCTCATTAAATGGACTAATCCAGTCAATTTTGCCCTTCACCTTACATTTCTTTAACCAGCCCACCCTCTCACAGCTTGTGAAATGGATTAGTCCATCGCACACAGATTTTCTCATATGTCTCCTGGGCTGTGAGTAGGCTGATGATCCTCCCCTCATTCCTGGTATTGGTATGATCCGATGAGGGTTACAGAGCAGTCCATATGTGTGATGTATTGGGGGGTGTACGGTGGTTGGAGCTGTGCAGGGGGAATATCATACTTTGGATTGTTATAACATTAAGGCCTGGTTCACACCTGGGCGTTTTACAGCGCGTTCCTACGCTCTGTAAAACGCTCAACATGTGAATACCAATGATTGCCTATGGGCGTGGTTCCCACGTGGGCGTTTTACAGCACGTATGAACGCGCTGAAAAACGCCCTACTCCCAAAGAAGTACAGGAGCTTCTTTGGGGCGTATTTGCCACGCGTATCCTTTGGGATACAGCCAAGTAGCCCTCGGAAACCCGCGTTTGTCGCGCATTTTTTTAAACCGCGAGTCGCAGTAAAAACGCGCAACAAACGCGCATATTCGCTACGCCTAGGTGTGAACCCAGCCTAAGCGTAAAAAAAAAAAGTTCAAAGAAATTAAACACCCCCCCCAAAATTTTTTTTAAGTCCCCCCACCCCCATGTATACGCACATATAAACGTAAATACGCGTCGGGTGCGCCATCGCGCAAAAACAACAAATGTTACATATCGCCGCGAATGTCGGAGTGCGAGCAATAATTTTAGGGTCATTAATCACTGATACCACTAAACCAGGGGTAGCCAAACTCCGGCCCTCCAGCTTTGGGAGAAACTACAAATCCCATGATGCATCTCTCTCCGGGAGTCATTTCTGTGTCTGTGAGAATCTTGCAATGCCTCATGGGATTTGTAGTTCCACCACAGGCGGAGGGCTGGAGTTTGGCCACCCCTGCACTCAACTGATGAGCGGTAAAAGCTTTTAAAGGGTCGCCTATGGACAATTTTGAGTATTGTAGTTTTTTGGGAAATTTTTAAGCTTGACATATTTGTTATCTATTTACCCGATGTGACCCCCCGTCTCTTATATTTTACCCAAAAATTGTGGTAATAATAAATGTTTCATAATTTAATATAGGGGAAACAGTTTGTTTTTTGTTGGTAATTTTTCCTTAATATAGTAATAAATAAAACCCTCCAGTGGGGATTAAGCACCGCCAAAATAAAGCTCCATCTGTCCCCCCAAAATAGCATACATTTATTTCAGTACAGCATTGTAAACCAGTGGCGTCACAAGGGGGGTGCAGGGTTTGCGGCCCGCACCCGGGTGACACCATTGGAGGGTGACACCAAAATGACTGACAGTCATTTTGGTGTCACCCCCTCTAAAAAGTCGGGTACTCGGTCATGGGCAGAGAGCCCGACAGTGTCTGGAGAGAGGAGGGGACCCGGCGGCATCCCCCCCCCCCCCCCCCCGGGTGAACGTCCCCTCCTCTCTCTCTGCCGGCGTTCACCACCGAGATGGCCGCCGGCAGGCGTCAATTAGATGACCGCACATGCGCGATGACGTCACTGCGGGGTGTCACCAGATCGCCGCTCCGGGTGTCACCCGGCCTCGGGACGCCCCTGGAATAAACGTCAAAGTACCGCAGCGCTGAAAAATGGCCGGGACAGGAAGGGGGTGTAAACACCTGGAGGGAGAATTTATCAAAACTGGAGCAGACAAAATCTGGAGCAGTTGCGCACGGCAACCAATCAGCTTCTCTCTTTCATTTTCCAATCTTAACTGAGCAAACTGAAGAGAGAAGCTGGTTGGTTGTGATGTACAGCTGCTCCAGTTTTGATGGTTTCCCCTCCTGGTCTTTACATGGTTAATGTGAGGAAGCAAAGCTCTGCCTCTACCAAGATGGCCGCCTCCGTGCAGACACATGGCATGGAAGTCAGTAATGGGTAAACATGAGCTGCTGCAGCGACCTCACAGGTAATCTGGTGACTCATCTTTGCTTTTTTGGGGGGCACTGCTTCCTGAGTACAACTCCTCTAGAAACTTCTGTGCAAGGAAGGTGGAGGTAACTGTATGAACATGGAGGCTGGTAGTACGATGTCTGTCTGGGTGTATATCCAATTCTGGGGCCTCAGTTGGGTTTTAGAGTCTGTTATATGAAAGTGCGCTCAGTGCTGATCCATTGAATTACTCCGCAGGTTGGTGTTTGAGTTGAGCGGAGATGCCGGAAGGTCCCACGGTGAGGAGGTTCTGCTCCCTGGCCTCGCCGTTTGTAGGCCAGCGGGTGACGAAGGTCGGCGGGAGCACAAAGCAGATTGCTCTTCCGGACTTGATGGAACAGCAGTTACAAGACTGTCAGGTACCGGAACCGCCAACTCTACATGAATAGATTCCCGACATGTAACAAAAAGATATACTTGTATCACTGAAAAAGCCACCCTAGAGCTCCAGTCAGGGACTTTGCCCGGGCTGAGATGATGTCATCAGTCTGCTGCAGGCAGGAGGAAGCATTTCCTCAGTCTCCTTTCCCCCAGTGATCAGATTGCAACAATGTAACTTCGTAGCAAGTCACAAGGTGACAGGCAGCAGCAAGGGGCTGTGTCAGACATTTGTGAACACAGCCAATAACTGCACAGACACCAGAATTTACATCAGTTCCCGACACGGTGTGTTAACAAATGTCTGCTGCAGCCTCT